AGCTGTCCAAATTACTGGATCATGCATATGATAATAAAATGAGGTTTATAGTCCTGTGTAAAACTTGTAAAAGCTATTTAGTTAATAGGGAGGGGATTGTGTATACATTGTCAGGATAGGGCTGCTTTTGTTTGAAATTTATCTAAGAGAAGGTTAAGGGTCACAAAATTAAAGATTAGTGGTCTGGGCTCTGGAGATACAGGGTTAAAGTTACTGCAGAAAGTCTAAGGCTACCTTTTAGCCAGATTTTAACAAAAGAACCAGTTGCTCCCTGACTCATGAACTTGGCAGTAGACATCCTATTTTAATGCTGTGAAAGTTCCAAGAGCTGATGTAGAGAAAGTTTTACAGCTGCATCTGTGCTAAGGGTCTACTTTTCTCACTGAGCTACTTGATCCTCTTGAAGACGAGGCTGTGTTTGTCCTATTTTCTTAGGCTGAAGGTTCTCTCATCTTTGTCTCCAAAATATATTCTATAGACTCCCTGAATTTTGTGATTCTTAGGTTTGGAAAGGTGGAAAAGGAATGTCAGGTTGCAGTGTTATGAGTGTACTTTAACTTGAAAATGAGGTAGAAAGAATCTAAACATGTAGATACTCTGTCCCAAAGCATCTAGGTGCTTAGGATTAATCAGCAGGCAGAACACTTCCAGGGGTTCCTTTCCATTGGTCAAGCGGTCTGCATACATTCTCAACTACCCTTGAGACAACCAGCGAAGTTTTGCCAATGAGATCTGCTCAGAAAATTGCAAACTTGCTAGCCTAGAGCTGGGAATTTGACTGTTCGTGTGTCCAACTCCCCAACACCAAACTAGCACACAGCCACCTGGTCTCAGCTACCATAACTAGCTGAACTAGTAACAGCTTTTTCATTGGCCTCCTTAAGGCCACTGTCGCATCACGCCATTACAATGTATCCATGCTGCATTAAGCTTTTTAAAAACAGACTGGACTTTGGCCCTTACTTACCAAGCCTTTGTTAAATTGCCAAACAAATGGGTTTATCCATATTGAGAAGTGAAAGTGTCACTTAGTTGTGTCCAGCTCTTTGCAACTTTATGGACTGTAGCCTGCCAGGCTCCTCTGTCCATGGAATTCTCCATTGCAAGAATACTGGAGTGGGTTGCCATTTTCTTCTCCAGGGGATCTTATGACCCAGGGATTGAACCCTGGTCTCCTGCATTGCAGGCAGATTCTTTACCATCTGAGCCACTGGGGAAGCCACTGAGTACTAGTTGGCAGTAAAAAGGAACAATACTGATAACAGCAACCAGATGGGACTGGCCAGGTAGTTCAGAGGTTAAGACTACTTTCCAATGCAGAGGGCATGGGTTTGACGACTGGTCAGGGAACTGGGATCCCACAAGCTGCGTGGTGAAGCCAAAAAAAGACAGGAGTGAGGATGAATCTCAAACATGCTGAGCAAAAGAAGTCAGAAGAGCAGGTACTGTATGTGGATGCATTTATGTGAAACTGGAATCTAGTGCCAGCAGATTAATGGTAACTTGAGACTAGGGATGGGCATGGGGAGATTGCTCAAGAAAGATCTTTACATAAGTATAAACATTTGTTGAACTCCAAGCATTTAAAAATTGTACATAAATAGTGCCTTAAAAGGCCTTTTGACGGCTTGTCGACTTAAAGCCACAGCCTAAAAGTTGAGAGCTGTTACATTCGGTGGGAATTTTTAGGACTTCAAGCCTTGGAGACAGTGTCTCAAGAGGAGGTGGGTGGAGGAGTTGGGTTATACAGAAATTTGCAACAAAGAGCAGGTAGTCTGGACGTCAAAAGTGTTTCTGTGAATTAAAACCAGATACCTCAAGGAATTTAGCACTTCTCTATATATGGGGAATGCAAGAGCCTGGGCTCATTGAAATCATGCCTTACATATGCATCTGGGCTATCTGGGGCCAGCAACCTGCCTTTTTCAAGCTCACTGTTGGGAGTGGCTACAGCCTGACTGCTGGATCAGAGGTATTGTTCTCCTTCCTGGTTGCCTAAGGGGCTCAGAAATTCCCTTTTGGAGGGCCAAAGTCGCTCATCACTCTGACATCCTGGTTTACTGATTCAGCAGGAAATACTCCATCTCTCAGGCTTCTAATAGGTACCTACCCCGGTTTTACCCTCTTGCTAACTCGCACCCATCCTTTTCCCATTTGGAGGCAATTGATATCTTCTCCCTGGAATACTGTGCATGGCTGGCTTTCCCACCTTTGGGTCTTAGCCTAAGTATTGCCAATTGATGCTCTCTATTCCATTGTTTTCCTTCAAAGTGCTGTTAAGCTTGAATTTATCTCTTGGCTTATTTGCTTATTGCTTGTTTTAGTAGAAGTGAAGTGCTTTTTAAAGCAAAGGCCTTCTCCCAGGGCGTGATGCAATAAACAGTGATTGAAAAAATTGGAGAGAAGTGACTATGAAACTAGAGACCCATATTGCTACATGAATATGTCAAATTTGAATAGAAAAAGTTCATTTAAGATTCATTTGTATGGTAAATCAATAGAGGATCTTCCCAACCCAGGGATCAAACCCAGGTCTCCTACACTGCAGGCAGATTCTTTACTGACTGAGCTACAAGGGAAGCCCAATCCTATTTGGGTGACAACTTTGTAACAATCAACAGACGCTATCTGAGCCTTAAAAAAACTGCAAGTAGTTTAGAATATGAGTAATAATGTACTCATTTTTTTTTCATTCAAAAGTAATAGAAAATAGTAGTAGTATAGGAAACTGGAAGTATTGATTCTTAGCCAGGAGATGCTTCAAACACCCCACTTCAGCAGGCAGTAGGCCAAAACCACCTCTTGACTGGTCTGTCAGAGGTCTTAAAGATCAAGCACAAGGTGAAGCCACAGGACCCAAAAGGAGCATTTCTGTTCATTTCTTTTGGGTTGGTCATCGCATGCTATCTTGGGATTTACGAGCTCTAGCAAAGAGAATGTCAAATTCAGCCCAGTGCTTCAAACAAGAACTTTCTGCATCACTCAGCATCTGGCTTTGGAAAGGTTTTCTGCACTTGTCTTCAGTGCCGAGACAGTCTGTTTAAGATAGCCTCAGCTTTGGGCTTCCCTGGTGGTTCAGTGGTAAAGAATCCGCCTGCCAGTGAAGGAGACACAGGTTTGCTCCCTGGTCTGGGAAGATCCCACATGTTTTGGAGCAATTAAGCCCTTGTCCCACAACGACTGAGCCTGTGCTCTCGAGCTGGGGAGCTGCAACTGCTGAGCCCGTGTGCCTGGAGCCTGAGCTCCGCACCAAGAGAAGCTACTGCAGTGAGGAGCCCGCACACTCGGCTAGAGTAGCCCCTGTGTGCTGCAGCAGACAAAGACCCACTCAGCCAACGATGAACAGGGAAACACAGTATCTTAAAGATAGCCTCAGCCTTGAAAGGGAACTTACAGCCGCTCGCAGGGAGGCCTGAACAACTGCTGATATTTATATAGGAAGTATTGCTTTTGGACAGCACCTATGGCAGCCCACTCCAGTACTCTTGCCTGGGGAATCCCATGGACAGGAGCTTGGCAGGCTACAGTCCATGGGGTTGCAAAGAGCAGGACATGCCTGAGCGATTCAGCACAAGCACACCTCAGCTTCACTATAAGTGAGAACCACAGTGAGCACAGAAAACCACCAGTCATGGCACAGTCAGGGCACATCATCGATGACACAGTTTTTAACCAAATAGTGTGGATTCCTGAATGTTGCTTTTTGAGCTTACTCAGTTTCTCTCCTATGACTGAGTAGAGCCTGGCTGTCTGGAGCCTCAGACAGTGTGTGGCACTTACGATAAGAACACCTACATTCTGAGGTTGGTGGGAAGGACAGGAGTGGTCCTCTGAGGAAGCAGAAAGGGTGAGAAGAGATGCTCTCGGAAGGGACCTGGTTAAAAGAGTCAAACTGCTTAGTATGCAAAAAAGAGCAAATCTCAGCCTAGAGGCCAGAAGAGGGCCTGGAGTGGTCGCTGACCAGAGTCCTGCTGGCTCCGCCCGGGCCTGTATAGCCTGCCCGGGCTGGGCTGCAGTGAAGCCTTGGGGACGCTAGGTGGCAGCCGTGCGTTTCCAAAGGTGACTCGCCCATCAGCCCAGCTGGGAACCAACCCCGGAGCCCTGGAAGGGGGTGGGTGGGGGTGGTAAGAGAAACCCTCAATGCCCCCTCCCTTTCAACGGCAGAGACGGAGATTAGAAAGGGGTTCACTTAGGGTGGCCAGCCTTCCCAGAGGGATATGGGATACGCCACGATCCTCTGTGGACTCACAGGGTGGGTAAAAGCGACCCCCCTCACGTGGAGCCGCCCCGAGGGTTGGGCCTGACCCGCCCTCTCCTGCTCCCCACTCAGGCTCCGGTGGGTGTGAGTGCGGGGACGAATGTGGGTGAGGAAGGACATTCTACACCTAACTGCGTTTTTGGGGACCGCAGCCGGTTCAATTCTGGCAGCCTTTGCGCCGTGGCGCAGGTCATTGCGCCCAGGCGCAGAATTTCGACGGCTCCCAGCGCTCATCAGCTCCAGGCTCGCGGGCTCTGCCCCTTCGGAGCTGCTGGTCCCGTCGCCGAGAGTCTGAGCGCCTCCCTCCAAGCCGGAGAGCCAGGAGAAGAGGAGGCGGCAGTGGAGAGGCCGCGGCAGGCCGGCAAGCCGGCAGGGCCGCCTTTGATGTGGGCGCGGCGCACCCAAGCGAGCTGAGCGCCCGTCCGGCCGCGCCCCGAGGGGGGAGCCCCCGGGCCCCGCATCCTCATTGTGCCGGCTCGGGCCCGGGCCCGCCCCCGGCCCCCCGCCCCCTCGCCGCCCGCGCGTAGAAAACGCCCCGGCCGCCGCCAGTGGTGGGAGGCGGCGATGCGCACGGCCGGAGAGACGCGGAGGAGGAGACATGAGCCGGCGGGCGCCCAGACGGAGCGGCCGTGACGCGTTCGTGCTGCCGCCGCGCGCCCCGGCCCCGGAGCGCTGACCCCTGGCCTGGCGCAGCCCTACGCCCCGCCTGGAGAGTGCGCCCCAGCTTCCAGACCCTCCGCGCATGCTGCCCCCGGAGTGAGTCGGGCAGCCAGCCTTCCGCGGACGCCCGGACGGATCTGTGCGCGCGTTTCCCTCCCTCCAGCCCCAATGACCTCCTCTCCCTCTCTCTCCCCCGCAGGTGTTTACACTTCCTGCTGCTGTGCTTCCAGGTACAGGTACGTGGGCTCCTGACTCTGACCTTCCCCCTGCACCCACCTGCCCCTGCCTCTCGGTACGTGTCGGTCCCCTTCCCCCGGGCCGCGCCCCCTCCCTGGGCCCCACCCCTCCTGGGCGTGGAACGGTGCACCTGTTCCCAGGGCGCCGAAGGGCGGCTCCGCGTGCGCCCAGCGCGGGCGGGGAACCCGCCAAGGGCAAGGGGCTCTGTTGCTGGACTCAGGCTGGCGCGGCCCCAGTCCGCTTCGGCTGGGAGGAGACCCTCGGAGCCGGAGGGCTCAGTCGCCACAATGTGCCGGGCTCCGAGCCCCTCGGCCCCGGTGAGGAGTTAGGACGGAGGGATTTTCTCTGCCAACCGTCCCTTCACCATCTCCACTTGCTCTTCCAAACAAAAAGGCTCCTTTCAAGCGAGTAGATTCCGAGTCCAGGGAGAAAGCTTCAGTTGTAAATTACTCTGTGGTTTCAAAGGCGTTTGCAGCATTGAGAGAGAGAGAGATGTGGAACTAGGAGGGGAGACGGGTGAGAGGGCGCAGAGCGGGGCACCAGAGCCGAGGGCCCCTTGCCTGCGAGGCGGCTCCGGAACGGGCCGCGCTTCGCACACCCTCGCCCACGGTGGTGCAGCCCTAGGCTGCGTCCCCGCCTCGCTCCCCGCTCGCTCACTCTCCTGAATCAGAAGAGGGCTTGGCGCTCAGCCTGGAAAGCACTTGCTAAAATCTGATCTGTTACTTCAGCAGCTTTCAGACTCGGGAAGGTCTTGGCACGCAGACAGTTGGAACGCGGGTGCTTCCAAAGCCGTGGAAATGAAGGAAGAGGGTTGGGGTGGGGGGACGCGGGAGGGAAAGAGAAGAGGGACTGGGGAGCCGACTTCAGCGCCGATTAGAACCAGACCAGGCTGCCTCAGCTTGGGGTGGGGGTGCGCGGAGGAAAAGGGACTAGGAAGTGCCAGCTGCCCTAGCCCCCCACCCACCTGGAGCTCTGAGGGAGGGGCCCTCGGAGGAGCTGGACTGAGGCCAGAAGAGATTGTCTGCCCCGTTCCCCTCTGGCTGAAGGCAGGTGTCCTCCTAGGGTTAGAGAGCATGCTTAGGCCACGGTTTTCTGGATCCTTGCGGTGCCGGGGAGCCCCGAGCGGGGAACGCGGAGGTTCTTCCCGGTGTGGGTGTGTTGTGCCGCGGGAACGGCGCCCTCTTGTAGAGGGCGGTGGCAGCGGCTGTGGTGAAGGGCCTGCTTGGCTCCCCTCCCACTCCGAGGAGAGAATTGTTACCATCACGATGGACTTTAAGCTGCGGGCAGCTAGTTGGGACCAGGGGCAGGAAGCGTGGATGGACAGACTGATGGGTTCTTTCCTTCTGTTGGTCAGGCTGGGGTCCCCGGTGACTCTTTGAATCAATACAACTGGAGTCAGTAACTTAAGACTGGCTGTTTGCCAAGCAGATGTGACCCTGTGTGGTGGCGGGGGCGGGGTGGGGAATGGCTGGTGTCAGAGAGAGAGGCCAGTGCCTGGCATGGTCTGCCTGGTTTGCAGCTGAGTCCCCAGGCAGAGGGCGAGCCCCAGGGCCACTGCAGGGAACTGCTTGTCCGACCTGAGTGGGAGCTCTTCCCCAGTGCCCTGAGCCTGGGGGCGGGGACGATGAAATGGGCCTGAAGTAGAGAGAGGTGGTTTCAGACCTTGTTGCCCAAGCCTCCTGTTGTCTGCTGCCTCTTGGTCCTTGAAGCGGGGTCCAGGAGGGGATGCTCTGTGATCTTCGTGTTCGCTGGGAGAATGTAAGGGAGGGAAGCTGGACTCTGCATCCCACCTTCACGTCCTGGCTAGGGCTAGAGCCAGCCTTTGGGGGGAAGAAGCTGAGGTGGTCTGTCTGGGTGAGGTCTTCAAGCAGGTGAGGGAGCCTCCCTCCCCTCCCCTCCCCTCGCTGCCCCCACCTCTCCCCTTTGCAGTCTTTCCCCTTCTAAACTGCCTTAGGTCTGACTAATGTTTTTAACTCATGGTCCGTGTACCCTTGGGATGTCTAAGGATGGGATTATGGGGAAGGGGTTTGAAAGTCTTCAACATGGTGCCCAAATATGCAGTGTCTGTGAGAGTGTTCTCACCTCCCCACGGATTTTTGGAAGCACCCGTGATGGCTGAAAGATAAAGCAGCACTACCCTAGGGAGCTACAGACGAGGTTGGCAGGTGCAAGTCCTCCTATATGCTCTGGGGCTAAGGTGGAGTGCTCTTAGAGGTGGAGATGAGGGCTGGGCCCCCACAGGAGTCTGGAGTCTGCTCCCCACTGCAGTGTTGGGCCACCACCAAGAGAGCAGGTATTTCCTGGACAGTGGGCATTTGGAGGGTGGCTGCGAGAATACCCTTGGTGAGCAGGACCCAGTGAGGCTCCCTGCACGGTGGGAAGGCTCAGGACTCTGCCGTCCTGGGGACGGGCCTGAGCCCCAGGTCCATCTTTCCCTATGCATGGACTTTTGTGAGACTTAGTTTCATCGTGGGTGGCCCTGAGGATGAAATGGCATATGATAAGGTGTGGAAGAGGTTTTGTGAATTCTCATCACCCAGTAGGGCACATGTCTCTGTTGGAAGCTCTATATACCTAACACCATTCCCTCCCCAGGCCTAGTGTTTTGGAGAACTGGTCCAGTCCTAGCAGTGGAGTTTCTGGGCTCCTCCCTCTTCCCATCTATTAGCCACCAAGCCCCCAGCGGGCCCCCTGCCCCCAGCCGCATTTCCTTGAGCACAGTCAATGCCAGACACTGCCCCCAGCCCAATATGGTGAGCCCCGCCCTCCCCCACCGGCAACCCCAATAGAGAGGGAGTGTACCAGATTAACAGGAGTACCTTCAATGCCCTCCTTTCCATGATGTGAAGTGTTGAGAGGCAGGGAGTGGCCTCCTGTCTGACAGAGGGGGAAACGAAGGCTGGGGAGAAGTGACCTGCCTTTGTTGAGCAAGTTTTGCTTGTAAGAATTTCCAAGTGGCTCTTGCCTCGGGAAGTTTGTTTCATTTTTGCTACCATGCGACAGGGAGACTGAAGAAGGTGAGGATGATATTCCCATCTCCCAGATGGAGAAACTGAGGCCCAGAGTGGAGAAGCGGTTTGTTTAAGGCCACCGCTAAGCTTCAAGTCTCTGAAATCAGGATCTTGTATTCTTTCCATCTCACCAGGCAGGCTTTTCGAGAAATACTGAAATGAATCAGAAGGAATACTGATGGGGGCACTGAGTCTCCAGAGACATGGTAGGGGTCCTTAATGAGAGATCTGGTGATCCTGCTGGATCTCCATGATAGGATCCCTGTAGTTGGGGTCAGAGGCTGGTGGGGGCCTGGGGGCTGTCTGTGGTTGAGGGCATCTGATCTGGTGCCTTCAGGCCCTGATCGTCCTGGAATGTTCTGGTCTGAAAGGGTTTCCAAGCTAGAGGTGGGAGTTCTGTAGGAGGCACAGGGCTGGTGGATACAGCCCTTTCCCCGCGTGGAAGGGGAGAGGGGCACCCTGCCAGCCTTCCTGCAGCCCAGGAGTGTCCCCTGCTCTGAGGCAAGGAGGTGGATTTTTAAAATTTCCTCTGATTGGCACTTCCAGGGCCCAGCAAGCTCTGGGTAGCATGTCAAGGCCACAGCATTGCCTTTTCCCTGCCCTGGCAACTGTGAGGGCGCAGTGGGCCCCCAGAAGGAGGAGGGTGGGTCAGGGAGGAGACTTTCTGCCCTCAGCTGGGCCTGATCGCATCCTGGAGCAGAGACATTCTTGGTGTGGGAACCAGGGTGCAGCCATGTCAGGCTGGCAGCCTCACCGAGAGCTCCCGCCAGATACTGCGAACTCGTTGTGTGAATGAGGGTTTCTCACAGCACCTCACGAGCCGCCTAGGGTTAGGAATTCTCAGATGAAGGGAGTGAGGCTCAGGGACATGAAGTCATCTGCCCTTGGTTGCATGGCAGGAGAGCGAGGCAGAGTGGGGTTCAGCTCTAGCTTGGCTGCTCTGGGACCCAGGCTTATGAAATAGCACTTTCGAGGCTCCACATCGGCCAGGTTCAGAGAGTCGCTCTGCCTCATCTTTGCTGTGTGACCTTGGGCAAGTTACCTAACCTCTCTGGGTCTCAGCTTTTGCATGGATAAAAGGGGAAGGAAACAACCAGTAAAACGGTTCCTCTTTCCTAAGGATGTGGAGCAGGAGGAGTGCAGAGCCAAGACTTTGCTCTGGGAGGACTCCCTCCGGCCCCCTGTGAGTGGCCTAAGCCCCACTTGCCCACGTCTCTCCACCTCCTGGTGACTGGGGAGAAGGAAGGGGGGACTGCTTTCTTTCTGAGGGCAGGAGCTGTCTGATGGACTTCTGTGTGCTCCCTGTCTTGTGCTGGGTTGTGCTTGCCCCTCACTCACAGGGACCCGTGGCCACGCACTTAGGGGAGGGGAACGCCTTGGGCCCTGCAGGTGAGGCTGAGGAGAGCCGCCAGCCTCAGGCAGGGCCGGAGCCTGCCTGCACCTTGGGTGTGAGCATAGGGATTTGTTTGGGAACATCGAAGGGTAAGCGGGCCCACAGGCTTTGAGCAGACTTGCTGATTGTGGCTGGGAGGTGACTGGCTTTTCTTTGCTCTGACATCCAAATGGCATAAGGCCTCAAGTGCATTTGAAATACTGCTTTGCTAAGGATGGGGCCAAAGACAGGCCCGCATGGGCCACAGAGCAGAAACGTGCTGAGGATGCCTGGAGTGGAGTCCTGGCTCCATCCCTGGCTCACTGGGTGACCTCCCTCACTGTGCCTCAGTTTATCTACCTGGGTGTCAGTGAAGTGAGCTGGGCAGCTTCTGTGAAGCTTGACTGTGTGGGCCTTGGTATAGGAGAAGTCTCGGTTTGAATCCTATCTGTGCTGCTGAGCAGCAGTTTAGCAAATGTCTTAACCTTCCACCCTTGGCGTTAGTTTTCCCCATCTATGTAATGGAGTCATGAAAGGTACCTACTTCTTAAGGGTCATGGTGAGGAGGACTGAATAGGATAATGCACATAGAGCAGCCAGCACTGTGGCTACACTC